TATACGTTATACGTTATACGTTATACGTTATACGTTATACGTTATACGTTATACGTTATACGCTCAGTTGATCAACGGATTTCTACTTCTTCTACATTAAAGTCCAACTTGTTTGTGCCTCATATATCTTCAACCAATACACTCCCATCATCACTCTGTGAGCGGGCATAAGACATGCTGGCATGCTCGCATTGAGCGAATCCTTGGCCATGCCATGCGATCTGTTTGGCTTGGCTCATTAGCTGCTTTTATTGGCCAATATTGCCAAGCAGACAACTGGCTGTCATATTTACAATTGTTATTTAATGGCCAGCCGACAAGATATAGATAAATGTACAGATTTATCTATATGTGTATCTAATAGACGCGTTTGTTGGCTCAGTTTTCCAAAAAGAGCTTTTCTTTTGAGTTGAAAACGAATTCGACTCAATGAGCAAACTCGCACACCTGTGCAAAGTGTGCTACACTCACACACACACACACACACGCTATACTTAAAAATGATTTTTCGCTTATTTTTAGCACTTGAATTTAGCGTTATTTTCAAATGTTTTTTTTTTCCTCCCGCTTTTCGGCTTTCGGCTCATAATCATCTACATTTTCCACACACATTTTACCTGAGTGTATAGATACACAGCAGCAGAGGCCATATAGACACGACTACACTCACACACACATGATGTAGGTATGTGTGTGTGTGTATATAGAGTTGGCTGGCCATTTCGTATCTTCTAGATACTTAGCGCTGGCCATAATTTTATTTATTTTATGCATGTGTGTATATACTTTTCTGGGCTCTCGAATAATATTTAAGATTTTGTGCGCTTGCCACATTTTGGAATGTGTAATAATTTAAAAATAACATGGCGAATATGTAGCAAAGCACTAGAAGAAACAAAAAAAAGATAAATAAGTCGGCTAAATATAGCTGAATGCTTTATCAGAAAAATTGAAAAATTGAGGTGAGAATAACGTGAATTTTGAGGGAAATTACAGGTAAATACAATAAGTTTTGATAGCGCACACCTGTCTTCGGGTATCCGGCTCATTGCTCAGCATTTTACAGATGCGCTGAGGTCAGTGCTGAGCAGGAGAGCCGATGGTTGCATCGCAGCAGCAGGAGATGAGTCGGGCAGGAGGTGAAGTAACAGCAGGAGTAGAGGGAGCGTAGCTGTCTTCTCACTCACACTCACACTCACACTGGCTCGCTTGATCTTCTTCGTGTTTCATGTTTCGTCAAAATTGGGTCAAAATTGTTATGATCACACACACACACGCACACGCACAGGCACGCCTGCTATGCAGTTATATATAGCGAACAGCCTCTATGAGGTGTTTTCCTGCTTTACAGAGTGTGTGTGTGTGCGTGAGTGTGTGTGTGCCCATTTGACGAGTGCTGCACCGCGCTTCGCTTTTATATTCTATTTATTTACTCGACTTTCGACTTTTCGCATGGCTCACTTGAAGTCTCACTCACTCACCTCGGCTGCCGCACCAAGATCACACTTGGGGCATGCCCCATCGAGCCGTGTGCTAAGTGCCAGCCAGCTAACCAGCTAAGCTCAAGTGGGGGCGTGCTCCACTCGAAATTCCAACAGAGATGCCATAAATAAATGCCACTTAATGCATTTGGGAAAACAAACGAAGAGCATTTTCCCAAACGCACCTTAATGCATTTTCCCGTTTTCGCGAACAATTTGTGTTGCTCTTCTCTCGCAGCGTTGACAACTTCAAATCCGAATTCTAGATGATTCACACGCATATAGATACACATGTAGTCTATACCAAATATATATATACTTACGTCTGTATATTTGTTTATTTGATTTTTCAACACATTGTGACGTGTGCCCTGCCAAGGCAAAAGCCTGTGACTCACTTGCCCGTATAGTCGTGTCTATATGGTTCAGATACTATATGGTTTAGTGGCTTGGTATAAATATCTAATGTCTATGTGGGTGCTGCTGCTACAAACTTGGCCAAAAGCACATGAAAATGCAATAAACAAATTTACAGCGTTTATTGAAAATTTGCGTATAAATAAATTCGTTTTGCAATTGAAATTTCTTGCATATGATATAATATATGATTTTTATTGATACATATAAAAATATTATGATATATTTTAAAATTATGTATACAATAATTATAGCAAAGTTAATAAGATTTAAGCAAAAGAAATTACCATTGCACAATCTGGGAGATTTACTTAAAGCACCTGCTCACACCTGGGAACTGTAGGTGATTTAACTTAAATAGTCTCAACTGCTAACTCAGAATTTCTAAATTTTTGTATATAAGAATCAATTCAACAAATTGGTAGCTCCTGCTGAGATAGACGAAAGAAGAACAAGACGAACTTCTCACCAACAAAATTTCAAATCTTTTCAGCTCATAAATATGTATAAAAATTATTCAACTTATGTAAACATTATTTTTTTGTTATCTACCTGCGAATCTGCTTGTGTTTCTACACTAAATAAAAAATATGCTTCGCTACAGCTCTATAATTCTATATTTATATAATATCTGTCGTATCGATGTTGGATCTCAGCTGCACACATGTTGGATTATAAATTATAATTTTATGCAATTCGAATTTTCTTGGGCGCTGCACACATTTTCGGACAGCCTGATTAATCATCAAAACATATTTGCGATTGTCAGCGATAAATGCAATGGGAATTTAATTAATGTCAGCGGTTTGCATATTTTTCTCTGTCGATTTGAATCAAAATGCAAAAAAACTTGCCCAAAGAGTTTGATTTTATTTTTATTTTTTCGATTGGACATTAGCTTTTGCGTCATTGGACTCTTAAATAGACTATGGCACATATATATTTGGATTTGCATTGCTTGAGAATAGGAAGGATATATATCGTATATGTCTGAATCTGTCTGTCTATAAATAAGCAATTCGAATGAATCTTTTGTTTATTTATGCTATAAAAAGCTATTCTAAAAATAACTATTATAAGTTATTGCTTAATTAAATACAGAATTATATTGCTCATTTGAATATCATATATTTATATAGCGTATTTCAAATTCGGTGTTTTGCCGCATTTATTTTAATTCATTTTCAAAAACTTTAGCATTGCAGCTTTAGCAAAGACACAAACCAGCGCGGCTGTTGTCTCGCAGCTAAGACAACAGCCTAGCGCAGTTCAAGCATTGACACATAGGTGGCGCTGTGTGAGGCAACAAGTTATTGTGACGCAGATCTTTATTATCAAAAAAATCTGACAATATCTTAATAAACATGTCTTTCTCTTAAGATTAACATGGTCTACTAATCATTTTAATTGCATAAACATAACAATTTAATATATTTAACTTATATTAGGTGAAGAAAAACTCAATTAGATTGGTCAAACGTCGCATGCTCACATAGTTGACCAGCACCACGTACGCATAGCAGGTGTAAATGTAGGCCCACCACTGAAAGTGCAACGGATCTTTGGCCCAACGGCCACCGCCAGCCATCAGGCCGCCCAGTCCGTTGGGCTGCAGCACATGGGCATGGTGCCGTTCGGTGAGCAGGCGGCGAAACACGGCGCCGCTCAGATAGACAACGCTCAGCAGCAGAATGAGGCGACGCAGGTGAATCAGGAGCAGCACCATCGTCAACTGTCGGTGGGCACATTTGTAAATATAAATAAATGTAGATAGATATATAGAAAGATCTGCCACTGCTTAATTTACTTAGGATTTTCTCATTCTTTATCTGGCACGCACTTTTCCACACTTTAGATTTTTTTTCGCAATTTCCTCGCCCAGTTGCGTCTGAATCTCGCAATTTTATTTATAATTCTCACGTTCGTTTCAACTTGTTCTTTTCGCTTTGCTTTGTTTTCGTCGCAATTTTCTGATTTCGCGGCTGGCAACGCCTGGGCAAAACTTTTCTTGAATACATTTTTGTGGCTAAATTTAAACAAAAGTTTGTCAAGCTTTTTGGCGGCATATTTGAGGTGCAAAAAAAGCTGCTCAATAGAAATCAGAATAATGCACAGAAGTTTGCCCAATAAATCTTTAGGCAGCCAAAGATCTAAAACTCATTTTTACTGCTCGCCATAAATTTCGTATGCGAATCGAATCCACTTGAGGAAGGGCCATAAGCACAACAAACTTGAAACGCTTCAAATGCCTTTCAGCAGCCTGGTTCATCGCATCAACAAAGAATCGAATAGAATAGAATAGAGAATAGTATAAACTAGGCACGACTATGTTGCGTATACTTAATGCGTATGCGCAATATTTGAGGCGAGCCACTTCAGCTCCAGCGCACGGCTAACCTTGAACAAATCCAAACAAATTAGACGTCGTCCATTGCAACACAGTGCGTGAGGCTGGTTAAGAACAATATTTAAATTAAATATTGGCACACAGAGGCAACGGAGGCAGCGGAGGCAGCTGCCAAATGCCATGAAAGATGAAAATGTTGCAATGCCCCACCAAAAAACAAAAAAGCTGTAAAACCTAATGAAATGTTTGTAGTCCACAAAGAAGAGGAAGATCAAGAAGACTACGTAAATAAAGCAAAGCAGAGCGAAGAGAGAAGCGAACAAATAAATGGTATTAACTGCATTTCTCGATTTTCATTTATTATTTTTAGCAGTGACACGGATAAATGGAACAATCGACACGCGGCGTTTTATCGGCTAAAAGCCAAAGAGATTTACTCGACCCGCTTCACAATGTGGCACCACCACCGAGTGTGGCAAGACAAAGGCGAAAACAACAACAACAACAAGACGAACTGATGGAGCAGCAGCAGCTCTGACTTTTGATGGAATGTAACTAGGTTTAATGCAGTTTGATCTCCGATGACTCTGAATTTCTATGATATTGTGATATCGATTGGCATAACAGAAACCTAAATCAAATTGGAGAGAATATTTGAAAAGAATATAAACAAGTAAACTCTAATTGAGGCTGCTCGACTTCGACATTCCCTAAATGTTCTTTACACATTAGTTTGGCAGAGGGTAGATTTTCTGGGTGGAGGTGAATTGTAACAAAAACCAAAATTCTATAAAATAAACACAAATCCATGTTTAAAATTTGAATACCCTAGCTTTAAGGTTGTAGAAAATATAATTTTATAAGTGATTTTCGATAAGGCTTTTAATCGATATTAAATAAGCGTGAGTTATCGATTTTTTGAAACAAATTTGATATACGCGTAGTATATACAGACTTACCAAAACTAAATTTGAGTCTCTAGTTCTTATATATTTTGAGATCGATGCGATTAAGCTTACGGTGAGACAAACAAAAGGACGGACAAACAGATAAACATAAGTAAATCGGCTTCATTCGTTGCCCTTATCAAGAATATATATAGTAAATGGGTTCTGCCACGCCTCTCTCTGCCTGTTACAGACATTTTTTTTAATATTCTGTCTATCTGATTTCCCATTCCCATAAATATGAGCTGTGAATGCGAACTCATTTCTTCTTAGTCCTCTGCAAAACTGCTCAGAAAATGCTACATCTCTCTATTATTCACCTGTTCTACCTGCAGTTTTGTCTAGCTTCAATCGAAATTTGTTTGCCCGCGACAACAGCTCCGTGTGTCATTCGGCTGCATTCTGCAGCATTAGTAAAAATGTTACGACATAATATACAACTTGGGGCAACAATTTGATGGTGTTTTATGGGCAGGCAAACAAATTGCTGCAATGCCTCGCTCGATGCATCCGATGCAGCCACGCCCCTGCGCGGCCTCACACCCGCCGCGCTATTAGTTTTATTAACTTGTGCGTTGGGTCGCTTGATTGCATAATCTGCTTGCTGTTTGGCTAAGGCCAAGCATAAATTACAGATTCAAAATCGTAGAAATGATTGAAAGGCCTGCCCCTGCCAGCTTCTCCCCTCCCCTACGTGCCGGCAGATCCCAATGGTCAACAGCTCCCGTTTTCCTCTAGCTTTCCCAGTTCCCAGTTTTCCCCAGTTGCATCTCGATTGCCCACTGGCTGCTCCCGTGGATTGCCGGGTCTGACTTTTATGGCTGTCGGTGTATTTTTTATGGCCTGCCCAAAATTCATTTCTCGTTTTGAGGCAAATGATTTTTTCTCAATTTTTCTTTTTTTTTTATACTTGCTTGTGATATGAAGCGGGTATATTGGTTTCTTGTTGATGCAATGGGGCGAATGAATGATCCATTTGTTTGTATGAATATGAGGCAAATGGTTTTTGTTTTTGCATGGCAAAAGTAGAATTAAGTATTTACATGCCATTAAAACTTGAGATTTGAGGTATAAAATATATAAGATATATATTCGTGTTAATTTAGCATATATAAAAAGGGCCTACTTATTTGTGGGCGTGGCAGATCAGTAAAATAACTGCATTGTCCAGTCTCCTCGTCGAGAGTATTATGATATATATAAAAAAATATAGAATAATATATATATATAAATATATACAAAAATATATATAACTTATATAATATGTACTAAGGATCCGTTGGGCTTTCAGTATTCTAAAAAGTGGGCGTACTCATTTGTGGGCATGGCAGATCAGAATCAAAAACGGACTCCATCTGCCAAACTCTTGCAGCTGAAGTCACTCAATGCGGCAGTTGATTTTCTACTCAGCTAGATACCGCCCTTTGGGGCGTGGTACTTTATATAGTAACTAATTGATCAGCATTAAAATTGAGTCTTTTATATACCTTGGAGCGTGCATTATGCAGTCATGCATGCCCGTTTGCCGTGCACTCACTTGTTTTCTCTTTCTGTGTTTTTTTTTCCTGCTCAATTTTTCGATTTGTTTGCATTTATTTCTGGGGCTGCGTTGGCGTTGCATTTGTTGTTGTTGTTGTTGGCGTCTCTCACGCACTGTTAAAAAATATTTGTGGAAAGCATGCAAAATGAACGCGCCTATTTTTTTTTTTTATTTTTATTTTTTTTTTGACTGCACTGCGCTGCTCTGAAAGCTATTTGTATCTGTCGGTCAGATTAGGTTAAGTTTCCGCAGGCCCGGCGTCAGCATCCATTGCAACCACTGCATGTCTTTCATCAAAGTGTCGAGCCACTTTGCCCCGCCCCCGGGCACCCCCGTTCCACCTTCCACTGGCTGGCTATTAGCTATCGATGGCCCCAGCTCAACTCTTCCTCGACTTTTCTCAGGCAATTTGGCGTCTTTGTCGCGGCGTTCTCTGATTTATGTGCAGGCTGGGGCAGCATTTGCTTACATTCGTTTTTGGCACATATTTAGATATTTAGTATTTAAATGCCCACTAAAATATGTATATATGTGTATATACAATAAGCCAAATACTCGCACGTTCGAGCCGTTCGCCATGTGCAGGCCAAAAGGCAATCTTTTGTTTCAGATATACCGAATAGCTAAATTTTTGAATGGACGTCATCTCAGCTAGCCGCATGCTTCCGGTGCCCCATTCAATATATATCTCTGTCTCTATGCGTATCTCTGTGTGTGTGTGTGTGTGTGTGTTTGTTTCTTCTGGCCGGCAAAAGTGGCACACAGTTCGTTATTTTTAAATGAAGAACAAAATATCAGTGCAGAGAGATGCGATTCTAGTATATGCATGGATGTCTGTCCGTATGTACTTGTTGCTCATATCATATGCACGATATATATACGATATATGTACATACGTGTGTATGCACAGCAAATATGTGTAATAAATTAATGACACTTGCTCGAGAGGAGGCGGGCGCTGTGAGTGGAAGTAGCAGATCTACACACAAATATACTTATACATATACGAAATATACCAACAAGTATGCTCTTATGAAGCTGAGTTGTTGATGGAGGCAAGAGTTTATAATGGGAATGGCAGGGGAGCAAAAATTGGGAGTGGAGAACTGACTTATGAGAGCTGATGTATAGAGAGAGGCTATGTGATTTTATAATTACCAGTAGCAGTAGTATACTCTGAGAAAGTCTATAAGAGAGTCATGAGTCTGGCATTGCATTAGACTGAATTGAGTTTTAAGTTACAGTTCGATCTAATACTTGAGTTTAGTTTGTGAACTTTTATTTGGCATATTGATAGAACTTGGCAGTAATTATATTGTATATGATATGATATGATATGATATATAGTATTTGCCTGGTTACAGATCAAATCTTGGTCGGCTGAAGCCTTAGAGACTGATACATTATAGTTTACCTGAAAGCTTACTAAGGGAATACGATATTATTATCTTGTATTTTTTGCTATAATTATTAAGTATAATTAAAATAAATACTAAGTAGAACTATATCACCGGCTGCTAGGGTCTTTGGCTTGGTTAAGCCAATTAAGTAAAGGAAAAATCTGACATCTATTTAAATTAAATACTGCATTAATACTAAATGCTCTTAGACTTGATCTACTTTCAGGCTACTTTAAGAGCTACTTTTGGAGCATTTAAGGAAGAGCCAGATTATTTAAAAAATAAAAAATTGAACTAATACGGAATACACAAGCACAAGAAAAAGTTTAAGAGTCTGACAAAGTCACAAAAATTCCTAATATAATAAAGTATATAAATTATACCATAGTCGGTATCATAATTCGGTTTAAATCAATATCCCAAAAAAGCCTTAAATTGTTCTATTATTTTATATGAAAAAGTCTTTGTTTAGTTCAAAAGTTCTCTGCCTAAATCCCTAATACAACCCATATTACCGAGTCCAAATGCGCCGGCATAAACATGTAAACAAATATCATATATCTAATGAAGATTTTCCAGTAAATTATTGTGCGCCATTCGCGCTCTATATATAAATAAATATAAATATGTAATGTATACATATATAATTATAAATATATATGTATATATTTCTTATTCACTCTCGCCCACTCATCTGATTACTCACAATTCCAAATATACACAAAATCATATTTAGAATAAAATTTATTAAAATCCAAAATAAATATTCTGTTCTATTTTAAGGCATATTCCGATGCTAATCAGAATCGAAAATTAATGCAAAATTTGTACTTTTAAATCGATTTCAGAAATCGTTTGCAACTAAATAAACTCTAGCAGATGTCGAAAGACGAACCTCATTACGTACGAATTTTCCACTTTTTTTTTGCCAGATCTACGCGTGGCTATAGACAACAACAACAGCAACAACAACCACTGAAATTTGTATTTATTTGTTTCATTATTGCAATTTACAAACGCAACTAAGAGAGAGACAGGGAGAGCGAGAGAGAGAGAGAGAGGGAGAGAGCGAGAGGACTAGCTGAGCGCGAGAGGGCAATGGGCGATCTCTCGATACCAAAATACACACACGCACAACTCAAATACAAAAGAAGAAAAACACACACAGGCATTTTTGTTGTCGGGCTAAAAATCTCAGCGCAAGATTTTCCACAACAGTTTTCCTTTGACAACGCGCCGAGTCGCACACGACAATTTCTGTGCTGCGTTTTGTTTTTTGCTGAATTTAAAAATAATCGAGAACAAAAAAATACAAAACAAAAAAGTTAAATTTGTATTAAAAAAAAATAAGAGAAGAAAAGAAAAGGGCAATCGAAGCGACTCCGCGCCACAGAATATATGTATATCAGCGCATAAATAAAACGAGCCCGTGACGCGTTGCGCCGCTGCCTCAGCTGACGTCTCTGCCACCGCCACTGCCTCCTGCCTCCTGCCACTGCCGGCTGCTCCTAGGGCATGGCTGCCACACGCTCTCCTTTAGCTGCTGCTGCGTGCCGGCGGATTATGTAAAGTGTAATACGCTCGTTCACAGTGCCTGCAAAAATGCAGCCGACACAATGTTTGGCCCGCAGTAAATCGATCGAGTCTGTTTCGCGAGGCCAGCACTAATTGTCAAACGGCAGTTAATTTATCGCGCGCGCGCGTGTCTGTGTGTGTGTGTGTGTGTGTGTGAGTGCACAATCAAACAAAATATAAATAAATATATATAGATAGATAGATACATAGATCTATGCAAATCTATCGCGCTGTGTTAAATGTCATGAAACGTTGAGTAAACAAAGGCAGAGAGAAAGAGAGAGAGAGAGAGGGAGAGAAAACGAAACGTTGAATAAAAAAGAATCGAAGGAATTGAAAAGCAAACGCAATTGCTGCCAGCAGCCGCAGCAGATGCCAAAATAACGTAATCAGCATGTCATCCTATCGCAGTTATGTAAGTCAATTTGTATCTCTATCTGTGTAGCTGTGTATCTGTATCTGTATCTGCAACTGCATCTGTATCTATTGCTTAGCAAATTTTGTTTGTTTCTAATTGTTGCAGCAGCTCATGTATTTAGTAGCTAGTTTTTGCGTCGCACACCCACACACACACCTACACACCCACATTTGTTAGCATATTACGTATACGTATGGCCAGACACTCGCCTAATTGTATTCGCAACAAAAATTTAGTTTTTCCTTTGGGCAACTTTTGTTGTTGTTGTTGTTGCTTTTGCGTTGAGGCGTGTTAATGGCCCTGTTCCATGATAAACAATTCCCCCACCCCTCCCAGCTCGCACAACTTTTTGCATAGCTGTTTTGTGTTTTTCTTTTATTGGTAATTGATATTTTCGGTTCTGCTTTCGTTTACTCAATGAATTTGAATTTTCATGGGAAATTGCTTGGGAAAATTATTTGAAAATGTTTCGGCGAATCGCCAACATGAATTGTAATTGTATATCATTTAGAGACATTCCAGTGATTTATGATTGATATTTAGTTAGATGGGATGGGACTTGCAGAGGGAGAGCTGGGTAGACTTTACATATTGGATGTTGTTTATTGAATACAGAATGAAAAGCAACTTGGTATTTATTTGTTCTTATTTTTGCTGTGTTTACTTATTGCATAATGTAATGACTGCCAGCTGCTTAGAACAGTGTTTGCTAATAGTTTCATAATGTTTGAGATTAGCAAAGGCATTCTATAGGAGACTGAGGTGAGGGAAGACTACAGTCCTATCTAGCATATGAATCTAGATTTTTAAATACTCGATTTAATTAATCCAAATATTACTCTCTTTATCTCCCACTCTCTATCTCCTTCTCTCTCTCTTCTTCTGTATCTCCCTCGCTCTCTCCCACTCTCTCTCTATCTTTCCCTCTCTCTTATGCCCTCTCTCTCCATTATGCCAAGGGATGAAAAAGATTAGGAATCGAATGGCATTTAAGGGAAATGAAAAGCTGAGCAATATATTTTATCTATGTTTACTGATCTTAAATATGTGATAAAAAAGGGGTCTATCTCAGAATCTTTGAAGAGTTTTAAACGAAAATAGAGTCAAAGCCTCTCTTAAAAAATTTCATAAAATCATGTTGCCCTATTTGAATGAAATAATGCTGTCAATTTATTTCATTTTTATTTCACCAATAATACTACTCGACGGGATCCAGGGCAAACCTGAGCTTTACAAACAAAAACTTTGTATCACAATCAATAATAAGTCTTGATGACCACCGATGACAAGCAAAAACAAGTCCATTTGAGATCACCGATAACAATCGATACTAATCGTATATGATATCACAGATACAATGGATGCATAACAAGTAAACGGCTCGATAGCACTACACCCTAGCAATACATACCCCATCATGTATCAATATCCATATCTATATAAACATGTACCACTGCAATCAACTGCTAGAACTTGGTATTCGACGCTCTCCACCTCTATGGCTCCACTTTATGCGCCTCTTTTCACACTTTCAATCCATTTGGAGCAGCATCCTATTATCGCATCAGCTTCTGTAGTCTTAAATGTTTTTGTTCACGACTTTATGTGACCTCTTGATGCCGGCTAAACTCCTGGGCCATAAATCAATTAAAGATTGCGCCCCGACAACTGTGTTTCGATTGATGGGGCACCGACAAGTTTACCGACTCGGAGTCGAAATACTGGAGGCTGTTTATTTTTAGACAATTTCGTTTCGAAAAATGCTCGAAAAAGGGAAAAAAATTCGTTTTTTATTATTGTCGTGTCGTTTGTGCGTTGAGGAGTCGTCGTCAACTGTCCAGCTGCAGTGCGACTTTTATGGCCCGAAGGCAGCTGTAAATGCTAACGCGTGCCCCGTCAAGCGGAGAGTGGATTGCGGCAAGTGGGTGGCGCATTGGCCACCTAATTAATAGGCCACACACACATATATCTGAATATATAAAATAATACAGTACACGTCTGATATCTGCCGACACAGGCCTAGGCATGCGTATGGGGGGAGGCCGGGCGACAGTTAACAATTGTTTCTCAAGTCTATTTGAAAGTCGGTTTTTAGTACACAATATGCCCAGACGACGACGACCCCGTTGCAAGGTGAAACCGTTGATAGCGCTGCACGAGGATCCGGCCGGCGACAGCGAGGCCAGTCAGGAGGAGCAGGTCGAGAGCAAGAGCGACGATGCGGATGTGCCCGCCGAGACGCATGATGTGCCGATGAGCGTGTCGCCCAGCGAGTGGGAGTATCGCCTATTCCCGGAGCTGCACAACCAGCTGCCGGCGTTGCCCACGTTCACGGACATCTTTGGCCAGCACTCGGATGTGATGTATCAGGAGAATGCGCCAGCGCCGCTGCCCGATGCTGAGCAGAGGCAGGCAATAGGGCAGCAACAGCAGCAGCAGGAGCAACAGCAGCAGCAGCAGGAGGCGGCATCCGCTCCGGCGCCGGCCAGCCAGCTGAACGGAACGACGCGCCCATTGCTGCCGGACATCTTCGGCTTGGACGGCCTCGTGGCCAATTTGCGTGCCTCGCGCAGCAGCACGGCCAATGCCATCCAGCTGGTCACCGGCGAGGATCTGACCACGTATGGCCTGGACCTGGCCAGCCAGGGCGACATCTACGTCCACTTCAATGGACCGTTCACCCAGCAGCCGGCCGGCCGCAGCTCGGCCAACTGCGCCCTGGAGCTGGGCATGCGGGGCATGCGCGATGCCATGGACAAGTATCCATCGCGGCCGCCCATCTGGGATCCCTTTGTGCCGGAGACACGCAACCTCGGCCTCATCATGCCGCTCAGCTCGCAGGCGCCCAGGCTATCCGTAACGAAGTTGTCGCAGCCGTCGTCACACGAGAAATCTGCCTAGTTTCGATATCAATGATTTGGCAAACTTTCAAATTGCTGTTCGCTTGTATTCGGTTTCATGTCAACAGCAGCAGCAACAACAACAACAACAGCAACAACATCAGCATGAACAACAACAACAGCAAGATTTCAACTTGGCTCACCTATATACTAGACACGACTGCATCAATATATATATGTGTATATATATATATGTGTGTATATATATATATGTATATATTCCAATTGTATCTATATCCATATATGTATATGTGTGTGTGTGTATCGATACATATGCATATGCATATAGATAACGGTATATATGTATGTATGTATGTCTGAACGAACTGCAACGCTGACAATAACTGAAACCATCCAAAGAACTGAGTGCAATATAGAAGAATTTTAATCTGAATTCACTGAATGAATGCATATCAATGTATGTATATATGTATATATGTGTGTGTGTGTGCATATATGCACGTACATGTATGTGTATACGTATACGCATAGTCTTGGATACCTTTTGCTACATATGTATATATATTTTATACGATCCCAATCACTATTTTACACTCCATCCCTTTTCTACTATCTCGCTTTTGGATACCCCTTTCATATTCGTCTCATATGTAAACTTTCCTTTAAATTCAACTTTGTCAAATAACTTTCTCAAAAAATAAAACCTAAACAGATAATAATTGTTCAATGTTTCTTAAAGTTGATTTAATAGAGGAATTTGCCAAACATTATCCATTTCTACTTCTTTACATATACATAGCTCTCTAATGTATGTTTGGCTAGGCTCTACTAAGGTTCAGCTTAGAGAACATGGTATTTTATTTGGAAATATTTAGGCTTTCATTTATTTTTAAGTTCCCTTATTTTATATGAAATGCCTCAGAAATTTTTGTTAAGGAATGCCACCTAAAAAGTCGAGGGAACCAAGCATTTTTTACAGACAATATAATTTGGCAGAAAGTCAAGCAGAGGATGGGTGGTACCTGCTGGTGTAAAATAAGTTGGGAGTAATCATTTTTGTAAAGGCCTATTTAAAAATGAAATATTATTTATTTCCTTTATGCATCTTCTTCTTGCTCTATGTTTTGATTATTTCTCCTGGCTCTGGGATATACATATAGATATCTTCATTGATATTTTCTACTTGATGCATCTTTCTCTTCATGATCTATCTCTTTCAATATGTGAAATATTCGACTCTTTCCTCTTATTCTCTCTCCTCTCTTCTGTGCTCCTTGTTTCTCCTTTATATTTCAATATTGTTAATTTCTCCATTAGCAGTTACATACGTCTGTAACCCTCTGCACCCCATTCTCCTGTTACATCTCTCTCGAACAAACCTGACTCTGCCTGCCTTACAGTTTTCTGGCTCTTACACTCTCTCTATCCCACTCTATAATAACTTTCTATATATAATAACTCCACATAATAAGAATAAGTGAAGCAATCATTCCTCGCATTCAATTCCATTTACAGGGTATTTCCCAGTCTATCACACACGCTCGCACATTTGCTTTATTACTTGTTCGCGATTGCGTTTATTCAACTTTTTATAGCACTTTGTAAAATTTCTCTGCCGCTGGCATCCGAGCAGATTGCATAGATATATCTGAGACGTATGCAGATATATACATATATGCATATGTATATGTATATGTATATGCTCTGTGCATTTCTATCAGATACGCACGCATATACACTTACATATATAAATTTTTGACACCAAAACTAAAACTATTTTGAGAAACAGAAGAGAAAATAAATCATATGTCTGCTGCGATGGCACGCGAATGTTTTCGTATTTCGTATTTTGTTTTTGTTTCATTCTCAATTTATTTTTTGCCTTCAAGTAATTTGATTTCGTTGGCCGCATTTGCTGCAGTTGCTGCCACATTTTGTTGCATTTCGCTAAATGCACATTTGCTCGATCTCTTCGACTTTATGGGCATTACCGACTGACAGATAGGGCCGACGTTTTATATCCTGTCTGGGCAGCGCCTAATTGAGTTCGCATAATAACGCTGTCAAATGCGAGAGAGAGAGAGAGGGAGAGAGAGAGGGAGATATAGATTTAGAGTGGCAGAGACTTGCTGAGACAGCACTCTCAGTTTTGTGGCATGCCACATGGCAATAATCAGCTGCCTCTGCCGTCTCCTGCTCTCCAGCTTCCTGCTCTGCCACTTCTTCGTTTACTTTGCACATTGTTGCGCTATTTGCGTTTGGCATTCCATTTCGCTAAGAGCAACAACAACAACAACAACAACAACAGCTAAAAAAATTAAATGCCTCACTAGCCCCCCCTTCCTCAACGCCCACCTCATGCTGGGCGGGCGGTACTTAGGCACTGAAGAAATATGCATTTTTTATGGCACATGTCATTCGTGTGGGCAACGCAGGCGCCAGCCCAGCGCTCGAAGGGCAGCTAACAGAGGGGCAGCAGGGGTGTAACAGAGGCAGAGCCTAGCGCCAGGTGGAGCGGGAGCCCTAACAGCGGGATAGCAGAGGGACAACGGAAGCGCCAGTTGAGAGAGGGCGTGGGGTAACAGAGGCATAGCAGAGCTCTAACAGAGGGGGAAACCAAGGGGTGAGGAGGATCGAGTTGAAGGCATAACGAGAGCAGGGGTATTCCAATAGTCATCGAGACTGGAATTTCATGCACAATTCAGAGTCGAGCATTCGCTGTGGCATTCAGGTAAATCGTTGATTTTTATGGCCACTTTAACTGCGACTTCATTTGCCCACAGATTTCCAAATTGGAATTTTCATGCGAGCATTTTCCCCTCGACATTCCTCGACATTTAATAGCTCAGGCATATCTAGAACCTAAGTACTATTAATATTAATTGGGGATGCGCTTGCCAAATTTCTATAAAAAGCTGACATGGATTTCGCAATATGAATTCGCTGTCTGGCAGATCGAAAGAGATATGCAAAGAGACAAAGAGAGAGCGAGAGAGAGAGAGAGGGAGAGAGAGAGAGAGTGAGGGGCAAGGGTTTTTTCTAATGCACGCAGATGTTGAAATTTCGATAAACGAATCTGTTTAAACGTCGAAATTTATTGAAATGAAATGAGAAAATAGAATGAAATGCGTGCCGCAGCGCCATTTAATTGAAATCGAAATTGAAATTGAAAAGAAACGAGTTCAAAGCAAGCCAAAAGCCCTGCCCCATCGAGGGGCACTGGGAGCCAGTTGATGGCGTTGATGTGTCTGGCATGCCTGCCGCCCCCTGCTCGCCACGGCCCGTTGCAGATAATGAAATGAGCTGGCGAATAATTGTGGAACGCATCTCAAGTTCGCTGCGATTGCCTTCCATGGGGAAAATCTGAGTGCGCCCATCAATCAAACTGAGCTGCAGCTCGATTTGCTGCTCTTTGTAGAGTAAATATTATAGGAAATTTATAGTAACTTCGTTTTGATTGAGTGGGAAATCTTAGTTGAATTATGGCTAAAGTATGATAAAGTAGAAATGGTGAAAAACGAGAGTCTCTACATTTATAATATATTAAGCCCAAACCTATACAAGATATCATTATGAATTACATAAAATTTCGCCTTTGATTTTCCTTTTTACTCTACTTCTCTCTTCTTTCTCTCTACCGATACGACAATTATTTATCTATTACTAAATTTCTCTTACAATCATTTCCTCTATATATTCCAGGCGCCCTGGAAATCGAACTTGGGCAGTTCTTCATACAAGCCAAGCAGCTCAGCAGTAAGTTCAAAACTCCCTCTTTCTCTCTCTCTCGTCTCTCTCCAAGCCAACTAATACTCCTTTCCCTTTCGCAGTACACGCTGGGCTCGGATTTGGGCGGTGGTGCCACGTCGCGCTACAGTTCGCTGGCCACGCCCAGCTCCTACAGACCGTCGTTCTCTGGCGGCACATATCGCATCAAGCGTGATCCTCCCGCCCCGACGCCCGTCACCAGCTACGTGAGTCGCTATGCCAAGACGGAGCCCACCAAGCCAGAAGTCGCCAGCAGCGATCGCAGCAGCCCCATCAAACGGTACACGGGAGCCAGCACAAAGCTGAGCAAGTATGGACGCTCGCGGGATCCCAGTCCTGTGGCGCTGGAGCACACGAATCGAGCGACGTCCAAGTCACGAGATCCCAGCCCCCAGCTGGGCGGCGCTGGTTATAGGAGCAGCGTCTCGAGGAATGGCTACAGCAGTCGCTATGCGCCGGGTGGAACGAGACTGAATGGAGCGGGCAGCACGCTGGACAAGTCCATCTCCTATTTGACCACGAGTGACTTCCATGCGAGGACCGCCAGTCGCAAGGCGAGCAGGGAGAAGGAGGTGGAGGAGCAGCAGCAGCAGCAGTCAAAGACGGAAGAGGGTAAGGATGTAGCAGAAGAGCTGAGCACCAAAGAGGGGCAGCCGAAAGAGGCGGAGCAGGGGGAAAAGGAGCAGCAGGAGAAGGAAGAACCGGAAGAAACCTTCGTCTCTGTGCTGGTGGTGACCAGAGCCACCTCACCCACACCGCCGGGCAGCACCACCGTGCAGCGCACACGTCGCATCGACATAGCCAAGACCATCGAGAAGACCATTCAGCGATCCACAAGGAAGCGCCAAATGCTGGAGAAGGAGATCCAGTCGGATCGGCTGGACGACTCCACACGCTATCTGCGCTACAGCGCCGGCGGCAGCAGCTCCATCAGCTCCAACTACAGCACGCACAGGGATCGCATTAGCAGCCTGCGCTACAGCGCCAGTCCCCAAGCCAGCAGCTCCCCCAAGTCCAGCTCGCCCAGCGTGGAGAGCAAGAGCAACGGAGCCGTGAGCCTGGCCAGCAGCAAGTCCTCCAGCAAGTCCAAGCTGTCGCCGCCTAAGGCGGTTCGCTTGAACTCGCGGCAGTCCTCAGTGGAGAATCTGGTGAACAAGCCGCCGGCGGCGCCCGCCAAGGCCGAGTCGCCCACCAAGAGCTGCAACGGCAGCAGCAGCTCGAGCAGCTCCTTGGCCAAGTGGCCCTGGCCCAACAAGGACTTCCGCAAGAGCTCCCTGAACGTGGGTCCCACGGACAGGCCCAGGCAGTCCAGGACGCCCAGTAGCGGCGGCGAGTCCGAGGAGCCGGTCCTGGAACGCTCACCCAGCACAGGCTCCGACTGTGGTGGCTCCAAGCCGGCCAAGCTGACCAATGGCAAGACAGCGGCTCGACAGCTCAAGGCGCACAAGTCGTGCAACGGGAGCAAGGAGAGCAGTGAGAGCAGCGGGAGCAAGGAGAGCAGCCTATGCAATGGCAGCAATAGAAGCAACAGAAGCAGGGAGAGCAATGGCAGCAGTGAGAGTAAGGAGAGCAGCAAATGCAATGGCAATGGATACAGTGGCAGCAAGGAGAGCAGCGTCAGCTGTTCGACCACCTCCGCCTGCTCCTCCTCCGACAGCGAACAGCGCGCGAAGACAAGCAAGAAGCAGGGCAAGAAGAAGTCGCCAGCGAATGGCAGCCAAAACAAAGTGAAAGAGAAGGCGAAGGCAAAGCCAACGCAGAGAGAGGAGCAGCCGACGCCAGAGAGCGAGAGCCAGAGCCAGAGCCAGAACCAGAGAGAGGCAGAGAGCGAGAGCGCCGAGTTGGCATTGGGCAACCAAAATAGCAACAAGTCGTCGCTTGACTCACCCAATGAGGGGGCGGCGGGAGTCGGGGTGGCTGTGGGGGTGTCAGTGGTTGCAGATCGGTCGCAGTCGCGTCTGCAGAAGCTGTCGAAGGTATCGAATTTTTTGGCCACTCGTCAGCACGACGCAAATAGTGAGCCGATCTTCCTCGAAAGCTCCGAGAGCGCTGGCAGCGAAGCGGAATCCCAGCCAGCTTTGGCCAGTCTCTTGCTAGACACGCAAACGAACGAACCAGCGACAACGACAACGACAACGACAGCGACAACGACGACGCCAGCCACGTCGACGACGACAACGACGAATCCGACAACAAGTCCCAATCAAACGACCACGAGGCAGGAGAGCCTGACCAGCGAGGCGCAGCAAGAGGATACGGAGGAGCCCAGCTGGTGGCAGGACACGAGCCTACAGATCAATACGGCGTCCGCATTGGACAACAACAATCGCAGCGATATGCCCTACAGGCTGAGGCACATCGATTCGGGCGAGGATCACGCCTGGTGGCTGCGCCCCGATGAGGATGACACGCTGGCGGAGACCACGCTGAATGCGCTGGATGATGAGCAGGATGCGAGTGTGGCAACCATCTCGCAGGGCGAAACGGGCTACAGATGGAGCAGCAGCAAAGAGGAGCATGAGCGAGAGCGGGAGGAGGAGCAGGAGGCGAGAGTGGAGGAGCTTGAGCAGGAGGAGCAAGTGAAGCGCATGCCGCGCAGTCGCATCTCACCCGAGCAGGATGCCTGGTGGCTAGACGAGGAGCAGCAGCAGCCGGAGCAACCGGAGCAGCCGCAGGAGTCCACGTCGAATGGCTACCACGAGGACTGCAACAATGTGGAGGTGACCTTGAAGCTGCCCAGCAGCAGCGGCAACAGCAGGAGCAACAAGAGCAGCCAATCATCCGCAGCAAAGTCGCCTTCGTGGTGGCAAGCGGGCCCCGCCAAGAAGCTCTTCAATGTGCAGCGCGTGGAGTCTGGGGAGCGCGCCTGGTGGCAGGATCAGGAGCAGGTGGAGCCACAGCCGCAGCTGCAGCCGCCGCCAGTGAAACTGCCAACGCCACCGCCGACGCCACCGCCGCGCATCATCAAGCCGTGGGACTCGGGCGAGCGAGCCTGGTGGCTGGAGGAGGAGCAGCCAGAACAGCCGGAGCAACAACAGGCCACCAATAGCGACCAGGTCGACGCACAGGTGCTTAGTCAGCCCTGTGAGATGAGCACCTCCTTCGACTTTGCCTATTCGGTGCGCCCGAATCCGTTGGGCCAGTGCGCCAGTCCGCTGCCGGCAGAGCAAATCGAGCAGATTGATCAGCGAAAGCTTTGCGCGTCACCTTACGATAACATTCCAATGTCAAAAGTTCAAATGGCAGCGCCGCCGTTGCATGTGCAGTCGGCGTCGCAGTCGACGCCAATGCCACCAACACCGCCGCCGCGTTACTCTTATACGCCACCCACGTGCCGTGTGGGCGATAAGCTTTTCATTTCGCGTCATCAAAACATTGACGAGCTTTTGGGTGGCGCATGCCGGCCGCTCAGTCCGCTCTTCTACAGCGGCGGCGGCGCAACTGAGAGCGAAGCGGCAGCGCTGCCGCTGGCAAGCAAAAATATGTTTCTGCTGGAAGAGATAACGCCGGATCAAGTGCGCATTCACGACAGCACCGCACAGTTGCCGGTTATACAGCGCATGCAGCGGTGAGTACGAAGAGCATGAAGAGAGCGCGAGAGCGTCGGCTTCTGTTTGTTGTGTGGTGAATTTCGTTCAACATGTGGTTGATTACGTTCCCTCTCTCTCTCTCTCTTTTGATCTTGTAGCGATGTGGAATGGCTAGGGAACGGCAGCAGCAGCAGCAACTTTTACGAGCAGCAGAAGCAGCAACCGCAGCAGCGCCGGGTAAGTGGCAATGCTATCTCTCCCTCTCCCCCTCTCTTTTTTCTTTCACACACCCTCAACATATTGCAACGATTTGGATTTTGGCAACCTGCCCGGCTCGTTACGTTATCGACTGCGCGTCGCCAGAGACGCCCACGCGTGTGTTTATTTACCAAAGCAATGCACTAACTAGTGGCGGGAGTCTCTTGGCTATGCCAAGGAATTTGAGACAAAAAGAAATTCAGTCACATCTAGCGTCTGTTTTCATTTTGTGACTAATGTCAAGTATATACATATTCTAAATTTATTTATAAATCTCTCAAATATGACGAAGACCCCAACTGTGTGCCAGGTACGCCAGGTGAGCTATGCCATACGATTTACGGTTGTGTTACACAGCGTAAATGATCTGCGATCTGTAAGTGGGATATGCCAAAGGGCACACCCGATTCCTTATCTCCTGCATCTTCGGCGAGCTGCCAAGTCTCAAGTGTGGCCCTCGCTCCGTGAGTCACAAAGCGCAGCACACGAAATGCGGAAGAGTCGAAAATGTAATCTTAATTACATGCAGGCGGGCGGGCAGGCAGCAGCTCGAACTTGAAGTCGAACTGGAAGTCAAAGTCGAATTCGGTTACAGAATTCTGGCTTCTGCTCCAGTTACGAACTCTTTTTTTCGGCGAAATGGGTCAGAAGGCAATTAGCATGTAATCACAGAGCGCAGAGCGCAGTGAGCAGCGAGCTGAGCTTTAACTGTAAAGCCGACAAAGGTTAGTGCCGGCAGCGGCGGCGTCGGCTTCGTCGGCGACTTCATTAACTTTGCCTTGGCACAAAACAAAAGAAAACGAAAAAAAAAAAAAAAAAAAACAAACTCATAATGATTGCAAATATTTATTTTGTTTACGCTCTTGCGCAATTGTCTTTTGACCATATAAAAGAATGAATAAATTTGAAAGTGCATTCAACTCACAGAATCGTCGCCTCTCCACCGATTGAGTCAGTGAAATCATTTCGGCCATAAAAATAGATAGCTGGCATTGATGCGTGAAAACAAATACCCAAATTACATTATAAAAGACATTTTGTTTCAGCTCGCACAGCTGCCGTTTGCAAAAGCTAAACAACAAAAGTTCGTGTGTAAATACGCAATTGTCTCTTTCAATGACATCAACAGTCGTAGTTGTCTATCTCGCTCACACTAGCTAGATGAGTCACACGAACTTCTTTTGGTACTGCGGCTCAAGGCTATTTATTTATTTCCCAACGCCAGGGAAAAAAGACTCACTTGTACAATTGCATATCTTCATTTATGATAAATATTTCCCATTTGAGTAAACAACTGTTTAAAAATTTGTCCGATAAGACGTCAAGGGAATTTCTGAAAACTGAATTTATCATACATTTAAGTCAGTCAAAAATTTAAGGTGCATACACATATGCATATTATTTGCTGTCTCCTCTCTTCCCTTTTCTCGTCTCTCTTAAAATTTCAGCAGTTAATTCATAATAAATATTTGACTAAGGCTCTTAAAGAGTTCATAACAATTAAGCTTAAAATACATGTCTATATGCACACATATGCACATTACTTCTCTTTTTTTCTTCGCTTTATAGCATATCATATTCCTCTCAACATTTCCCTCCGCTCTCTTTTAAAATCTAAACACTTAATCCACACCATAAGCATGCAAGCAGCCACCCCTGTAATGTAAAACTCAATTGCCAATTCAAACACTTCACTCTCATACACACACATACACATAGGCGCACACAATTTAAAGAGCAAAATGTCCAGCTAATGATAGGCTAACGCTCAATCAACGATAAAACTAAATTGTGGCACACGCGCCTCCAAAGCTCCGAGGCGCAGCTATTTATAGCTCAGCTGCCAGTGCGAGTGAGGGTTCGCCTATCAGCTGCAGTCTCAATGCACGTTCAATTAAAAAAGAGCAACAACAACAAAAACAACAAAGAACAAGAATAGTGTCTTGAAGAAGGTGCAGCGAACGCAAACTCACCTGGCCACTAAACACGCATCGCTGAGAGACACACAGCCTGCAAAACTCACCACAGCGTTCCAACCTGCCTCAAGCAGTCTAACGTCACGTTAGCGCTGGCGTCATCTACCTTTTGGGTAGCCAAGGTGGCTACGCATTACGTTACGTTACATTACGTTACGTTTGCTCGCTTCTCACTTGTGCCTCTTGCACATTTGGCGCTTCGACGTCGCGACGTCTTCTTCTTTGCCACCGTGGTGTATTGTTGCTTTGACGATTTTGGCGCTTCGTGGGCCCCACAAGCCACACGACAATATTTGTGGCTTTCAGTTGCTAGCCGAACGCGCTTATGTGTGGACGTGTGCTTCGGACAGAGTTGAAGTCGTGTATAACAGTCTAACGGATATTCCAGCTGCCGCTCAGCTGCGCGCGTCGCGCTCTTGTCTGTGTGTTCGTCTTAACGCGTGTGTTTGTTTGTGCATATTTATTGTTGTTGCTACCATTGGCAACAGCGTTTATTAAGTATTTAAACTGCATTAGTGGCTAAGCAAATTGGTAATTATTTGCGTGAAGAAAAAATAAAACGAAAAGAAAAACAAAACAAAACGAGATATATACAAATATTGATTTCGTCAAATGGCGTTAAAAAGACAACATTAGCAGCCAAATGAATTTGTTTAATTGCAATTTATTTTCAATATTGATTTTTTGCGTGTCACTGTGTCAGTGTCAATGGACAACGAGTTAAATGAAGTGCTTAAAACTTTAAAGTCTTCATGGATGGCTCGATGTGGGCGCCTCTTAAGGTTTCAGTGTCAGTGTTTCTGCATGAAAAGCAAAAACAACAAAATAATGGGAAATAGCTGAGGAGAAGAGGCAATGCAACAACAAACAGCTGTCATCGATTTGGTTGTTTTGTCTGCACTTCCTCTTTGTCAACTGCTTCGCCTTGTTATCATATGCAGCACTCCTGCAAGCTAAGTCTCTCTCTCTCTCTTTCCCACTCGCTTGCTGTCTCTGTTTCGCTTGCTCCTTAGCTACGGGCTCGTTCTTTCGTAGGAGACATAGAGCAAATGTTAAAAATTGAAATAAAAAGCCAAACGAAATCCCAAAACCGGAATTGTGCAAATAAATCTCGATATAAGACTTGGATGGGCCACTCTGTCTGCGTTTCCTGCTGTTTCGTTTCGTGTTGTGACTGGAAGATGAAGAAGAAGAAGAAGAGAGAAAAAAGCAGCACCATCAGCCACAGCATTGGCTATGAGCCTCGTACAAGGAAGCAAATCTTACGTTGATTTGGCATATTACGAGCACAGAAATATTATTTATTTTCACCCATTAACGAAATTGCCGTTTGCCTAGGGGAACAGTCCGATCGAGCACCGTCTCCCCGCCCCCTATTAGCATCTCTCTCTCTCTCTCCCACTCTAACGTGTTGGTAATTTGCTAGACAACGCGAAAGTTTTGCAGCTCCTAAATAGACTGAGCAGAGCTGGGAACTGCAGAAAAAGCGTCGCCTCGTAACCTACAAAGAGTAAATTAGATATAGATGTATGTATGTATGTATTTGCCAGCAAATTACCAAAGTACCTAAACAAGAGCAAGCACTGTTCCGAATTCCACTGACTCTCAATTAGACATAATTGCATTATCAGGCACATGACCAACTGTGCTACACAGGGAACTTCCGCTCTCTTCCCCCTATTCTATCCCGTCGCTGCTCTCTTAAGCCGAATCTTCTGCCAGCTGCACACACGAGCTCCAGCATTTACTTTAATATGCAAATAATGCTGTGGAATTTATAATGGCAAGCAAAATAAAACAACAAACTGAATTTGCTGAAGAGCGTCGACGGCAAAGCAAAAACGCAGTGTGAAGCAAGGGGCGGGGGCACAAGGGCATAAACCCCATTTCAGCGCTAAGTACGTACATAGTGAGTGCCACTAAAAAAAAAGTGCTTCTATTTAGTTATAAAGCGATGGCGAGCGCGAGAGAGACAGCAATGAGTTAACAGTCCGTTAAGTTAGTATGCGTGCAGAGCAAAGCTTTAAGTGCAACAAAAACTAATATGATGGCATTTGAGACAAGTGAAATCTTTCTCTCATAATTTCTGTCTTTTCTTTTATGGCGACAATCATAAAGTGCGAAAATTTATTGAGGGGGAGAGAGAAGGCGACATGGCAGTTAAATAAAGCTTTGAAATGGGAAATCTTTCAAAAGAAAGACATTTAACAAAGATTTGCCAAGCTTTCGCATGCACATACTTCTAGCAGGCACTGCACCCAAAACGTAGTTACAATTTTAATTATCTGTCAGCGTAATCTCTGCCCAGGCGTTCGCCGCGACGCCGACTGCGCTGCTGACGTGCCAACGGCGAAACACTTCAGCTTTAGCTTCAGCCGCAAAGGCAAAAGCAAACTCTTCTTATTTTTTTTTTTACTTTTTACATTTATTTTATTTTTGTTTTCTTTTGCTCTGCTGGGCTTCAGCAGCGCTAATCCAATTTTTTTAATTGTGCGAAGAGCGACGAGGTGAAAGAAGGATAGAGAGCGCAAGAGATAGATAGAGAGGGCAGCGTGTGGTGGAGAGCGGGGTAGAACTGAACTAAGGAATAGTGAAGAGCACTTGGCTTACACTAACTGCGGCAAGCTGTGTGTAAGAGTGGGAGAGGGAGAGGGAGATGGGCAGAGTGCGAAGCAACTAGAATTCGCAGTGTGCATTATTATTGCGCTCTACTGTATTTGAAGCACATTTTCGTTTCTCTTTTCTGTTTATTTGTTTGTTTGGTTAGTTTTGAACGTTATCTGTGCTGCGCTTATCTTTCAACTGGGTTTCTTACTTAGGCTAGCTGTTGTTGCCATTGTTGTTGTTCAGACAAAGTCAAGGTGAGACGCGTTCTAATCTCGTAACTCCGGTTCTCGAACTCCATGTCAAATTAACTTGAATGACGAACTTTATGGCTCGCAGAGTTGTTGTTGCTTTATTGTTCTTGTTGTTGTTTTTTCAATTTGTAAGCCGATTTTTGGC